ACACTCAGGGCAGATTCACTCTACACCGGGAGTACACTCAGGGCAGACTCTCTCTCAACACTTGCTGGCTGGCTCCTTTGGCTATTTTCAGTTTATCACCATTCCAGACAGTGCAGGAGGAGACAATTTTCCTCTTTCTGTCTCTCCAGAATAAAAACATGTTATACTTTCCTGTTCTTTCCCCATCACCCTATTTGTGACACATTTATCCAATGTCTGTTGGAACTGTAAATCGTCACTAACCTGCTTCCTCCAGCCTTTCAACCAGTGTACATCAGATCACAGCGCAGCGTATTGTGGAACTATCATCTTCACTTGGTCCTATTGACACTATGCCCAGTCTGAACACAAAGCTCAGTGACAGACTCCATCTCGGCTAACAGGGTGTTTAGTGAGCGGAGAAAGGTGAGTATTCTGGTTGCTACTGCATTAAGAGTAATGTCCCTTTAAGAAGCCTGACACACAGATGAGGTAGTGTCTGGATGTCACCACATAACCAGAGGCCCAGGTCCCTCTGCATTGTAGCTATTAAGACACAGGGCGTGTATAGAGATCATGGTCACTTTGTCAGTTTAGCTGTAAAGAAACCCAGCAGAGACCTCCAAGTAAACAGAATCGATGTACCTCATTTAGGTGACATATAGACAGCACAGGCATTCATTACATCCTCTTCACTAAGTTCAGGAATTATCTCAATGCTTGACAAAGTAGTTTTTCAGATGCCGTTTCAGCACTGATGTTTTCCTTCACTTCATACAGTTCCTTACTGGCTCGTGGAGGTTTTAAGAGGAATTAAAATTAAGGGCAAATGATGTTCCAAAATGTAGTAAATCCATTAAACGGTAGGTCAAGCGGTCTTTCCTGGACTGGAGAAATCCGTGTAGAATGAAACAGATCTCTGTTACACTGAATTCACACTTGGAATCAGGCCATTCAGCCCAGCTGGACTATACTAGCAGTTCCATTCCATGTGCGCACTCCCACTCCTCAGTTCATTCGATTAGCAGAGCTTTCTCCCTCAAATGTGTACCTCGAGTCTCCTTAAACACACCTCTGTGATCTGTCTCAAACACCGTATTGTAACCACTCAGTGAGTGAAGAGGTTTCTTCTCCAAAAGCAGTGGCTAAAGATGCTGCATACAAGGCTATAAGCTAAGTGCTTGAAAATGGAGATTAGAACAGATGGATGTTTGATGACTAGCACGGATGCAATAAGGCTGAAGGGCCTCTTTACATGTCGTACAAACTGTGTGACAACTGTACTGCAGATCCAGGAATAAGGGATGGGCAGGATGGAGAATCTTGAGAATTGGTAACCGTGCAGGGTCCCGAGCTGTTCAGTGGAGACCGTGTCTGAATTGGCCCCCTTTTAAGTTACTGCACACGCCCAGATGTGCAAAACAAAAATTTAAAGGGACCTCACCCTTAAGTAAATATTGCAAGCAACTCCACGATGAAGTGAAACAGACAGTGCTGTTGACAAAGCTTTTCTCAGTGTGTGTGGGAGGTTGGGATCTTGGGGGGGGTCAGTGTGGGAATATTCCCGATTGCATCGGAATTGAAATGGTTGTGGTTGTGGGAGGTCAGTCATCTCAGCTCCAGGACATCACTGCAGGAGTTCCTCGGGGCAGTGTCCATCTTCAGCTGCTTCACCAATGACCTTCTCTCCATCATAAGGTCAGAAGTGGGGATGTTTGCTGCTGATTGCACAATGTTCAGCAACATTCGTGACTCCTCAGATATTGAAGCAGTCCGTGTTCAAATGCAGCAAGATCTGGACAATATTCAGGCTTGAGCTGACAAGTGGCAAGTAACATTCGTGCCACACAAATGCCAGGAAAAGACCATCTTGAATAAGAGCCAATCTCATCACAACCTCTTGACATTCAACAGTGTTACCATCAATGCATCCCCCACGATCAAAATCCTAGGGGTTACCACTGACCAGAAACTCAACTGGGCTCACCACATAAACACAGTGGCTACAAGAGCAGGTCAGAGGCCAGGAATACCGCGGCAAGTAACTTACCTCCTGACTCCCCCAAAGCCTGTCCCACCATCTACAAGGCACAATTCAGGAGTGTGATGGAATACTCCCCACTTGCCTGGATGGGGGCAGGTCCAACAACACTCAAGAAACTTGACACCATCCAGGACAAAGCAGCCCGCTTGATTGGCACCGCATTTGCCACCTTCAGCATCCAGTGCCTTGACC